GGGGTTCGAGTTATGCCACGCATGTTTTATTTGTTAAAAAGAATTCTAGAACTGTTTCAACAAAATGTTAAGGTCTAGCAAAACTCGGCGGTAGGTGCGGGAGCGCCTTTTCCGTTGTCATTTTCGCATCCTCAGATGGTTCGCGGTTTGAAAGGCCGTGTGTCCCGGGCCCCCGGCCCCCCTGGTGAGGGACCCCGCTTGTCGCCCTGCCCTTGCAGGTGATTGCGCGCCTGCAGAAGGAGGTCCAGGAGCTGAGGGACGAGCTGGCCCTGGCCACGGGGGAGCCGAGGACAGAGGCGCTCACAGAGGCGGAGCTGCTGCAGTAAGTGCTGACTGCTTTCTTTCCCTTGAACGGGGAGGGTTTGTGTCCACTCCCCTGTTGGCCCTAAAGTTCTGAGTTCGCCTCAAAGCACCGAGGCCCCGGGGACGGTCTGCCGTTGCCGAGGCGCCAGCTGACGGTGGCTGTCTCCACGGAAGGCTGGGTCCGGCTGGCCGCGTTCCTGTCGCCCGGCTCTGAGGAGTAAAGACAGGGCACAGAGGGGGTGGGAACGTCCTCCTCGTGCCAGCTGAAGAGGAGGGATTGTCTCACGGTCATGCAGTTTTTAAATCGGTCCACCAAACGCTCCTACGCTGTGGGCCTCAGGTCTGAAAGGAATTCAAGAAACGTCCTTTGTATTAACAGCATCCTGCTGCCAGCTCCGGTCCATCCCACGCCAAAGTAAGCGCCCCCCCATTAATAACAGGCGGCCCGTGCATTCCGGCTCCAACACGAAATGGGATGAGAGCGGGCACTCGGGCGTCAGACGGTGGCAGCATTCAGAGCCCTCTGATGCCGCGCCGTGGGGCGTGCCGTGGCCCAGCGCGGCCCCGATCTCCCTGCAGGCCCGGGCTTCCTCGTTCTGGGCTGCTTAGTAAGTGCCTGTGGAGCCACCGCAGTGCACAGGGCTCCGAAGGCGGCCGTAGTTTCCGTTTCCAAATAAGAAGCAGAGCTGCGCACGCTCTTCCTAAAGGTACACTCCCATTTCACCCAGCCCTCTCCCAACAGAGAAAATGGTAAACATCCGAGATAATAAAAGTACTTTCTTTAAAGCAAGTTTTCTGTCCAACGCTAAGCTTTTACTCCTCTAGACGGCGTTTCCTAATTCCAGAACTCTGCGTGTGAAAATATGAGAGGCCCTTGAGGCCTTCCCTACAGAACCGCTTTGTGGCATGTCTGCAACTAAGCTGAAATATTCTGCCAAAATTCACGTTTCAAAAATTCATGTCACTCCGTGAAATAACTTCAGGTACCTCAGATACGGAGAAGCCAAAGGAGAGAATTCCTTCACTACGGTCCTCCCTTCGGCTCAAGATAAAGGCATTACCAGCTAGGACCTTTGAAGGTGGCTCTTCAGAACTTTGATTTTCATGTCAGGGTGCAGCCAGAAAGATAAAATCATTCTAGACCTTCCCGCGAAAGGGATCTAATAGAGGAAACGCACTGCATGGGAGATGGCATTGTGGCCATGCTGTGGCACCCAGAGATCAGGAACAGCGGGAGCTCCCACCCCGGGACCGAAGGGACACTGGGAGAGGTTGCGATACCAGAGCCTGAGGCTGGAGCTGACCCGTGGGAGCTGGGCTGGGATGAGCCGCAGGTGCTCTGAGGGGCGTCCTCCCCGGGGAAGCTGAGCTCCCCCCTCTCCCCTTGCAGTCCTCCCCCGGGGCCCTTTGGCTGAACTTACCCAGAGCCAGCTGTCAAAGGGGTCAGGGAATGGAGTTTCCAAGAACAGAAAGGGAAATGGCCAACATGGCAAACAGGTTTCATGTTCTCTGATCCCTGTGTGTCCTGCCTGTGGCTCAGGAGGCTCAGCTGAAGGGTAAACTCTGAAAGCGATGATTCGAGATGCCGGGCCGAGTAAGCATCCGCTGCAGGCCCCTGCGCTGCACCGAATCTGGGGAATCAGAGAGCTGATATGAAAAAGCGCCCCATGAACAGGAAGTGAATTTCTCCAGGGACTAGAGGCTTGAAAGGAATCCCGGGAGACTGAAAGGTGGGCTGAGACGGGCAAGAGAACAGGACAGACCAGGACCCGGAGGCAGCGCCGCGAAGTCTCCTGTCTGGAAGAGGTGGCCACTGGGGCAGCAGAAGGCAGGGGGACCCCAGCTGCACTCCTTCCTTCTCCACCCAGCAGCGTTCAGGTCCTTGTCTAGGTTGGAGAAAAAGGAAAGGGCCTCGGGCAGCTGGTGCGGCCAGGACAAAGGGAGGCCGGGGCAGATCTGAACCCCGGCTGCTGTCCTCGGCTCTGCCGGTCCCCTGTGCTCAGTGAGAAAGGCCCTCACCCACGGCCAGCCGTCCAGGCGGAGAGAGCTGAGCGTCTAGAGAAGGTGAGCCCCCGGCCGGGACCCACTGGCACGTGGGGACTGCCTGGGACCTGGGACAGCCCCCAGCGAGAAGACAGGGCAGGAAGCACTGCACCTGGGGGGCTTCAGAGCTCAACCTCACAGGCGCGACTAGTATCTTTAGAGATAGAAACGATACGACATCCATGAAACAACAGGATCTTGATTTTTATAAAAAAGGGCCAAGAAGAGATCTTGAATATAAAAACGTGTAATCGTTACCATTAAGAACTTAATAGGTGGCTCTATAGCAGAATGAAAAACTGGAGGGCTAATTAGCGAGCCAGGAAGATGGGGCCATGGAACTCTCCCAGAATATAAGATAAAAGCATAAAGAGAAAGTTTAAAAGAAAAGAATCGCCGAGAGTAGCTCTAGATTTACCAAAATCTAGCAAATAGGAGTCTGTGGAGGAGAAACAGAGACGATGCCGGGGAGCCGAGAGTTAAAGAGTTGATGTCTAAGAATTTCTTAGAACTAAGAATGAACAGGACGCCAGGCTTCAGAGTGAAAGAGTTAGCATGCGCTAAGCAATGTAATGTTATAGAAAAATTTAGAGCCTTAAAATATAGAAAGGAATCCCAAAAGTTATCAGAGAAGAAAAATGTTATTAATAATAAACAATCCAACCGACAGCAGGCTTCTTGGCAACAACTAGGGAAACAAGAACTTCTAGTGCTGAAAAACAAAGCAGGGCCTTGATGGAGATTTTTGTGTCTGGCCAAATTAGTATTCGGGCATGGAGGTGAAATGAAGGCATCTTCCAGGCACAGACCTTCAGACAGAAAGATCCCCACCCCAGATCCTCTCTCAGAGGCAGCCCCCACAGGCTCCCCTTTCCCACACCCAGAACACTGTGCAGAGTGTAAGCACCGAGAACGAGCCAGTTGTGTCACATCTTCTTGAGGACACTTAGTACTGTGTGAGGTGTACATTATATCTTTTGCTAACCTGCCATTTGTTTCATAAAGGGATGTTTCCATTTAAGAGTTATCAACAACAATCAAATGCCATTCATGGGAGTTTGGGGGATAGAAAGCAGAGAAATAAAATTGTGACGACAGGTGTAGAATACTGACGGACTCTGAGATTAGGGGCTGCTTTCCTTTGACCCACAGGTAACCGATATACGAATGTCAGTTAGAACGGATTCCACATAGAATCCGTAGGGCTGCCACTCACTCATTCATTCACTCACTCCCTCATTCATTCAACACCTGTTGTTGATGTAGTGTTCACAGAAATCTTCCCTAGGCCCCGCGAGAAACACGAAGGTGAGCCCGGCCCCAGCTCTCAAGGGTTCGCAGTTTGACGACTGTGACAGACACGAGCACAAGGGAGTATATCTCAATGTATACGTTTTGAAAGATATAAACAAAACATGACATCACAGAGATAGTGATGATTTATTCTGAGCTCAGAAACCATGTAAAATTAGTCCGTGTGCTAGCTAAGTAAGCGCCAGCAATTCCCAATGAGATGACTTTCCTGCTGTCAAGATAACTACATAGCATTACACTTAATAATGACCTCTGGCCAGCAGTTAAGGAAATGCAGCAAACTACACCCCCACACAGCAGAGCACAGGGGTCCTTACAACAGTCCAGTAACTTCTGTGCTCCTTCAAACTGACGGTGAGGATCAGTCGGGTCATGTGTTTATTGTTGTTGTTTTTGTTATGTTGTTGCAGTTATGTTTTGCCGTAATTACCTAGATTGAATGTTGGAGCAACTTAAAATTCAGCAGATTTATGAGTCCTTTACCGTCTAGAAGTAAAAGAGAGAAATGGAAATCTGCCCCTAACGTGGCCGTGTGATTCCACATCAGGAGACGTGCTTCTCTGTCTTCCAGGGCCCAGCTCGTGCTCTCGGGAATGTGAATCAGCTTGAGTCCCTCGCTGCGCCCAGACCCCCAGGGCAAGGGGGAGGGGGTTGGCGGTGCTGGAGGGAGGAAGGGTCCCAGGGCACGGCAGGACCCAGGGCTGCTTCTCTGTCCTGCGGCCTCCTGGGCTGATGCCGAGTGGCCTGGCACAGGGACATCCTGTCGGGCTCTGCGAAGGGTGTCAGAGAGCAGGCATTTCATGGGTAATGTATTATATGCCATATGCACTGGACAGTTTGGAGACGTCGGTTAATATCTAGCTCTATCACATTTTTGAACTATTTCCCAACATTTCAGTTCTTAATGTAAATATTTGTTGCATTGACTCAGATGCTTTATTTGAGGAAGATTTCAGATGTCAGCCTCCAGTTATTGTGATAGTTTTAGTTTACATCTCTCTCTTTTTTTTTTTTGGCCTGTGTAAATTTGAAAAGAGACAGCTGGATGGAGGCTGGATAGCCAAGTTAGTGTTTATATATAGAATTTCTTGGGTGAAGATGTGATTCCGATTGATTCTCTAAACACATATCCCTTGCTTCCTCTGGTTAAAAAATATCCTTTAGGTGTCTGGCTAGGACAGAAACATTCTATCCTGGCCCGAGTCTACATGAATCCAATATTTGCAGCATAGCAACAGTTTACTTCTGAGATGAATTGAATTGGATTTCATGGGCTCAAGTTCGCCCAAAGTGAACTTGTAAACCTCTGGGTCCTTTCCCTCCCCTCCCCCCGCCACCAGCTTTATTGAGATATGGCTGACATATAACATAGTGTTAACTTTAAAGTATACAATGTGATGATTTAAAAATATATATTTATATTGTGAAATGATTACCACAATAAGCTTAGTTAACACATCTATCACCTCACATAGTTACCTATGTGTGTGTGTCTGTGTGTGTGTTGAGAACATTTAAGATCAACTCTCCTTGCAACTCCAAGTGTACAATACAGTATTATTAACTATGGACACCGTGCTATACATTAGATCCTCAGAAAGTATTCATCTTATAACTGGGAGTTTGTTCCCTTTGACTTACATCTTCCCATTTTCCTCACCC